TAAATATGGGTTTATGATAACTGAAAATTTTGCATTGGTAGTTTCTCTTGGTTAAAATTTGTCCGTCACTTACAACTTGCATAATTTTGATCTCATAAAAGTTAAATTCTCAAATTTCTTAAATCAATTCATTGCGCATTAAAATTCAAAATTTTAAACAAATACTTTCGGAAAGACGGTTTGCGAAAAGTTGTTTCATACAGTTTAACAATAGAACCATAAAAACAATGAAATATCATTACCTTTTGTTACGGTTACAAAATATTTCTCGTTCGGTTTCAAAATTTGGCTAAAAGTTAACGAGAGGGTGATATTTTTATTACACTCTCGAATATTTCTATACTTGTTACGCAACAAACTATAAGCTATTGGCGACAAACACGATACTGGCTCATACATAAAATATAAACGTTATCTGGTAGAAATGTAATTTGAAGAGCGGTAACTTCTTTCATATATTTTTTTTACAAATCATAAATTTTATTAATGTTCTTTTTGAAACAAATTATGAAAGAACAATCTATTTCGAGCACACCTGAGTAAAGTTATCATTATTGAACTTAATAATTGTGTAGTATAAACCAACTTGTGTTGGATGTAGTAGCAAAGAAATAAATTATTTTTTTATACTTGGTATATTTTTTAAATCTATAAAAATGATATTTATAAATATTTAAGAGCGGAATAATAACTCAGTAAAATTTATTTTTTATCTTGATCTTGAAATTAACATTGTTTGTCCTTGAAACTTAATAATCTTTATTACGAATGCTAAACGGATTGGAAATTTTAAATGACTGAATGGAATAATCGAGTCAAAGGAAATCATTTAGGAACGTGGTAAAAAAAACATTCTAACTTTCCGCTTAAAATGGTAGTTTCAATAATATAAAATAATAATATTATTTGTTCTCAACTAATTGCATAGATTGATGAATTCAAATTTCGACAAATAAGAAATTGAACTTTTTTTTTATTAGGAAGTAACATGGTGGCATTAAGTTGGAACTCAGCAGGATGTTTTACAGGATGGTAAATAAAATTCTATCCACAAAAACCGTGTTAATGGATGTGAATGACATTTGATTGTCGTGTTGTAATGACTGTTGTATCGTGAAATTTATTGCGTCAACATTCATAGTTTTGGCATACAAAACATCTCGCACGCACGATTAGTGTAATTAGCTTGTAAATCTGGAAATATACCTCAAATAAAAACATCTTCGGCAACCTCAATGTTTTGGTTAAATGTTTCGGATGCATTTCCTGGACAAATTGTCTAGGCATCCGATACAGTATGTATAGGCGACTGGGTACGGTTGTGCCACTTTTTTTTTAAATCAGCCATATTTTGTTTGATTTACCAGTTAGCTGTGAGATAAATAAATTAAATGGCAGTGTCTTTAAATACGATGAATTAGTCATAAAATCTAATCATAAAAGAAAAGTGCAAATGCCACTACCGTCTACACCCCAAGGATGGTTGTAATAGGCATAACGCCAAAATATTTTATAATGTCTTTTATTGCCAGAAATATGTAACGCAACATAACATAATCATTTAAACAAAGCTGATGAATGTAATATTTATAACATATAACAAAAAATAATGTTTTGAACGAAGTTAACAAGATATCTTTGTTTTTTTTTTCTTGTATTGATTTTTTTTATACTCTTGATTTCTATTTTGTCCTAAGTTAGATTTTTTTATCAGTTTAATTTTCACCCGAAAAGGACAAGACTCATAACCACAAGTCACAACCGTCTCTTACTTAGGCACTTACGGGGCACTTTTTGCCCCGTATCTTTGGAACGGCTAGACCTGCTTTTGCCAAAAACTAATCAGCACGTTTCCTTATCAATACGAATCGAATGTTTTTTGAATTATTCAAATCGATTGATCGGTGTTCCCGAAATCGTCGGGAAAAATTTGTATCCGCACACACACACATACACGTTCATACATTCATTTTTTTTAAGGTTTACCAAAATATTCAGAAACCTTTGAGACGTAAAGATATATAAAAATTTTCGTTTTCGATTTTTTTACGATTACTAAAAACTAATTGTTGGTGAATTAACTACTAAGCTCAACCAACAACGTAATAAATAACAATAACATAGCAAACAAAGTAATCTATTAACAGTTATTATTAAAAGTTAAAATAAACAGTTATTAAAAAAAATCGGATAAAGAAACTTTTTTTGATTTTTATTAAGTTATACAATTTTTTATTTACCAAGTTAGATAAAAAGCAAAGATTAATTGGTTTGTTTGGAAATAGTTTTGAAAATTTCCAATATTGATGTGGTACACAAAAGCTAAGAACGTGTGTTTGAAATATAAAAATGAGTTTTGAAAATTTTCAGTATCAATATGGTTAAAATCATATTTAGCCACCAAATTTGCCGATCGCGCAAATTAAATAAGAATATGAATCGAATATTAAATTGGTTGATCTCCATTGGGCCCGAAAAATTGTGTTTCACCATATATATATATATATATATATATATATATATATATATATATATATATGGTATATATATATATGGTATATATACATTTTGCAAGAATGTTTTAAATCGCGGTATTAACTATTTCTTTGAAAATAGGTGACCATATTTTTTTTAATAAAATCCGGGACGAATTATAAGGTCTTTGAGAGGGGGGTGTTGTTAGCTACAAATTATTGTGCACATTTTTTTGGTTCAAATTTTCTAGTTGAAATATATTTAAAAAAATATTGGCAATCAAAACATTTTAAAAAATCCGGAACAATCCGGGGCAAAACACCTAAAACCGGGACAAATATTGCTTTTAGAAAAAGCCGGGACGAAAGGCGGAAAATCGGGACTGTCCCGGCCAATCCGGGACGTATGGTCACTTTACTGAAAATAATTATTAAATTAAAAAACTGATGCGTAGGAACAAAAGTTAACGAAGCACCTTATATAAAATTTAAACCATTAATTTTAAATACGCGATATTACACGAGTAATAGAACTTTGAGATCAAGCTTGCAAAATAGTGAAAATTACTTATACACTGGGATGACAAATATAAATATGCATTATTTGCATACTACTTTCATTCTTTCTGAAGTGTGCTAAAAAGTCGAATGACTTTGTATGAAGATTTTCATTTTACGATTATAAACTGCATATATACATAGACACAGATTAGATTGAATCTAATATCTACAATCTTGGCTTTCGCCTATAAGTAAAATCTCGCTGTATGTCGAACCCGGAAACACATTCATTACCGGCCGGAGAATATATATATATATATATATATATATATATATATATATATATATATGTATATATATACATATATATATATATATATATATATATATATATATATATATATATATATATATATATATATGCGCGTGTGTGTATGTGTGTAGGTAGGTGTGCAGGTGTGTATCTGATATTTATATATGCACTTGTGACCACTCCAATAAATTTATGCTAATCTTTCTTTGATTCATGATTGATTAATATTATATATTATTAATACATTCTATTTCTTACATTTCACCATAACGTATATCCAAAGGAAATCAAAGAAATAAAACAGTGAAACTTCTCAAAATATTGAAAACACAACAATATGAATAACAAGTGAAGAATTTGAAATTCATAAATATTTAGCTTTCGCTGTTTAGTTTATGTATTGTGCTACTATAAATTCCGTTATGTTTTGTTTTATTCTCACACTTCTCACGAATGAAATGGTATCAGCCATAAATGTAGAACATAAAATCATAGTTGAAACTAAGAAATGAGAAAAGAATTATATATATATATATATATATATATATATATGTGTGTATATATGTATATATATATATTGTGAATAAACAAAATACTTTTTAAACTGTCATCCATCCAGATAATAAACACAGAGAGAAATCTATACGTTTCATACATTGACAGTCACAATCAACCCTTCGTTGTGTGCTCGAAATTATTATCTTCATTTAGTTTCTTTGCATCAAATATTTTTTTATTCTTTTCACTAATATGATTGTTGTTGAAATATTATTTTATTATGTTTATTTTGTGTTTTGTGTCTTTTTTTCTACTTAAGAAGTGCCAAATTGAATCTCGAAATGTATGGATTTATTAAAACTATTATAAGAAACATACTTTAATTTTCTTTCTATTTCGGTTATGTGGGTTGGTGCTTGTTTAAGAAGTATTTTGTATTATTTACACACACACAAACATATTATATATATATATATATATATAATTCGTAATTGTTTTTGAAATTACACTGAAGATGAGACACACCATGGTCTCGAAACGTCTGTAATCATAAAATAAAGTTGTGTTAAACAAATCTGAGTGCTGTTTTGTTCATATTAAACAATTAATATTCGTTTCACTCATATCATAAAATTCTATATATATATATATATATATATATATATATATATATATATATAATATAAATATATATACTTCAGATTTTTGTTCGACGTTGAAACGTATTAATGTGAATATTATTAACATATAAATTTTATTCTGTTGATAAATCTTTGATATTTACATATTTTAATTTAAGTGATTCGTATAATAAATCTTTCATTCATATAAACATAATTAATATGCCACTAAAACTTTATCCAAATTTATAATTAAAGTATTATATAAATTAAATTTGCACGTAGGAAAGAGACATTACATTTCAATTTTAAATTTAACGGAAATTGGTTTAGCATAATATTCGATATAATTATATAAAAAAATAGTATAATATTTGTATGCTGCATATTAAACTACTCTTTTAGTTAATTTAATTGCTTGTCATTATTCTGTTAGTGTAATATATATTATTAAATATAGTAATATTTAATTTGAAGTCAGAAATAAATTCTATCAAAGTTATTTATATTCATGCATAAATACAATATATATATATATATATATATATATATATATATATATATATATATATATATTGGAAGTCATTGTCTCACTTTTAAGGGATTTTCCTTCAGGCGTACAGGGTCTTTTGTTTAGTAAGCACTCCACATAGTTGGACACCAATCTATCACTACCCAATATACCTTCAATGTCAAGGGAATCATATCTCGATGAGTACAGTTCCGTAGACCATACGCATGTTGTACATAGTATAAACACCGTTACATTTAAAAATCTCATAGTTATAATGAAATTGCAAATGGGTAACGTGAACAGCACAATAAAAGAATACTAGGCATTAGAAGATGAGGCTCTTTCTATAGTTCGGCACCGATGCAGCGGCCGTCCGATATTTCTTTATATTTAATATTAAATGTGAGAGATACGCGCGTGCCGCGATTGTCGCAAGCTGACTGATCAACAAGCGAATTGATGCAATTTAAAATACTCGCTATCGGCGTATTATGAATTTGTAATCACTCGCGAGTAGAAAGGGTGCTACGTTATTCTGCGCGGCTACAATCCCGCGACGGCGACGAGCGCACACCTCTACAACTGCATACATATACAAATATGTATATACGCATACACACATACACACATATACATATAAATAAAAAAATAACTAGTGGAGCGCATGGCATCGTGCCTTAAGGCAAATTGCTGGTACTTCCCGTACCAAAAATTTTTTTTTTAAAAAACGATTAACATTTTTGAAAAAATTATACTTCAAACAAATTAGATTTTTGAGAAACTATAAATTTGACAAAAAATGACTTTTTTTGAAAACAAAAAATTTTTTTTTGAAAAAATATTTTTTTTTTTTTTTTGAAAACAAAAAATTTTTTTTTAAAAAAAATGTTTTCTTCATTTTGACATATTTTGGAAATTCTGAACTTTTTTCAAAGCAATCGTACTGTTTGAACTGCATAGAGACGAAATGTCAAAGCGTTTAAGTGCCGCGCCGCCGTCTAACGGATAAGCATTGGTACGGAACCCATAGAAATGTAAAAAAAATTATAATTATTATTAAAATCTCTATAAAATATCTGATAATTTGATGTGCATATGTCTAATGATTATTTTTAACAGCCAATTGGCATTTTTTTTTTTACTTTTTTATTAGATCTCCAAAATCGCTAAACCTGCCTTCATGAAAATTTGATCAATTCTTCATCTTGTCAATACAAGTAAAATGTTTTTTGAATTATTGAAATCGGACGCTCCGTTCTCTTAAAAACTGAGTTACCATTTTTGGCACTTTTTGTCCCGTATCTTCGGAACGGCTAGACCTACCTTCGCCAAAAACTAATCAGCACGTGTCCTCATCAATACGGATCGAATGTTTTTTGAATTATTCAAATCGGTTAAAAATTTGTATTCATGTCATGCCAAAATATTCAGAAACCTTTGAAACGTAAAGATATATAAAAAAATTCGATTTTTTTGCGATTACTATAACTTGCCTTACGGAAAGTTAAATATATATATATATATATATATATATATATTATATATATATATATATATATTTCTTTTTTCTATCATTAAAATTATCTAACATTTACGTTAATTTCTTTGAATACTTTTTAATAATTTTGGATTTAGTGCAGTTAAAGTTAGATTTAATCTAAAAGTGCATAAATACATTGATCTTAAATTTATTTAGAAAACCGAGGCGATTCGCAGGTACTCATAATCAAATTATCCAATCGTTGTCGCTCTACCGAACTATTTTTAAAATCTTATTTTCAGTCTAAACTTTTTATGACAAAAATTTCAGTATGTTTATTATTGTTTACATAATGCATAATATTTAAAAATTTCCAATTATTTCTAACGCATGGGCAATATTAATATTTGGCTTTTACTTTACTTATTTATTTGGGGGATTTTATGCGATTGAAGCATTGAGCAAATCATGGAATGCAAAAAATTCTATCCCTGCATTATAAAACATAACACTGGTCTGTACTTCATGTTGGATTATTTCAATTTAATTTTTCATTGTTTAAAATATCCAAAATTGCATCGTAAACTTTTCCAAATTGATATCGTAAGGGCCGAATTGTATGTATTGATCTTTGCTTTCAATATTGTCCAAAAATTAGTAGAATATGCAAAGAAATTATAAATTTCTTGAATTATATTAAAAAAACCTTTATAATACATTTCATATCCGAATCTCGTATTGGAGCCTCGCATTCAAGGTAGGATCGGCACTGTATATAATATATTGAGAGTTTTGTCGACTAATTGATCAATTGATACATATTTGAGGTATTTTGCAACCCAATCGTCGAATTAAAAAAAAAGTTAAAATAGAAAAATTCTTTATTCTATACAACGTTTTGACACTTAATGTGTGTCATCAGTCATCATTTATCTGAATCGAATCAACAGATTTGAATGATTTGAAAGATTTGATTCCTATCGACAAAGAGAATTGGTGATTAGTTTTTGGCCAAGACAAATCCAGCCGTTTCGAAGATATGGGGCAAGAAATGCCGAAAATGTAATTCAATTTTTGAAATTCAATTTGGTATAACTTTTTAATTATTGCGAGAAAAAGAAAAAGAAAAAAACTTTGTTATAAAACTTGTATATGATCTTTCCATTAAAAAAATAAAAAAAAATTATTCAAATACCTAAATTAGGTATACAAGTTTTATAACAAAGTTTTTTTCTTTTTCTTTTTCTCGCAATAATTAAAAAGTTATACCAAATTAAAATTTGAGTTTGAATTCGGTACCGAAGAGCGCCGACAAATCCCGAACGAAGCCAAGCGCGTGTGACGTCATTCTGTTACGGCTGATCATAGTAGTATACAGCTTTGAACATGCGCTATGCTTTGAGCTTTGTATAATATCGTTCTGTCATTGTTAAATATTCAAAAATATATAAAAAAATGTCAAATGTAAAATGTTATCGCTGTTGTAGACTTCATTGTTATCATCGCAGCAGCACTAATTAATTTACAAAAACCTATAATTTCAAGTTAAATTTAGAAGAATAAGAAGAAGAATATTTAAGAATATTTTCATGACAAAAGAAATGGCTAAATGTATATTTCATATATTTATTATTTTATTTATTTATTATACCTTTATCGTTTATTGCATTTGTATCATATCATCAAAATATATTGAATAATAACTAATTAAGACTTTAACTTTATTAACTTTGTACAGAGTTGAACAGCTTTGAGTATATATTTTTGAACCAGAATACTATACATTTTTTAATGAGATCTTGAGTGTTTGCATCATCATATATCAATACGCTAACATAAATTTTTTGATTGTCTTCAAAGTTTTGATCGGCAACACAAAAGATTTCCTTTCTTTTACCTGTCATTAACAATTGCAGTTGCATTTGAGCATTACACTTTAAGTTTATTTTGCCCTTCGGCAAAAAAGTGTACCACGCGTTTTTTGTGACATATATTATATCGAAGATGAGCGTGATTTTTGACTCATTAATTGTTAATGTAACTAAAAAGGCTTTGCTTCGAACTCGATTTTCTGGAGATACACGTGCTTTTAAAATACAAATTTCATTTTTACGACCAAGTTGAGCATAACCCACAGCTTTGTCGCCGTAACTTTCACGCGATGCTCTAAAATTAATTTATTAGGTAATTTAATTCAATATAAAATTAATACTTAAATATTGTGATTTATAATATTTTTTAACAGACTTATTACATCAATGCCTTGGCGTCTCGAACTTCCGCAGAATTAAACCGAACATCATTTTTTAAAAGTTCGGCTACCATAAATATATCAATATTAGGAACATTATCAGAATTTGCTTTTATAAATCCTTTATCACACATAGTTGAACTAAATTAACTTCAACAAATCGTTTTTAAAAGAAAATTTACCACGTGTTTATCAAGTTCCGTAAAATATAGTCGTAAGAACTGCACTAATAGAGTAACGGCACTGCGCTGTTGTGTGGCTGCAATTACAATGTGACGTCACAGGCACGGTAGCCGTTAACGGTCACATGACTAACTTTTGAATTTAATCAATTTTTAAACGCTCATAACTAATTGAAAAAACATTTTTTTTTGTTTTTTCTTTCACATATCAATAAATTTAATAATGTAGTTTTAAAGCGCATAAAAATAAATATATATATATTTTTTTCAAATTCCCAATTCTGATGAATTCTGTATCTGATTTCAATCATTCAAGTAACATTTTACTTGCATTGATAAAGTTAAGAACTGATTGAATTTGGGAGAAGGAGTTTCAGCGGTTTCGCAGATCCAATAAAAAAATAAAAAAACACAATTTTGCGGTCAAAAATGATCGCTAGACATATGCATATCATATTATAAGATATTTTACATTTACAAAATAGCGATTTTAATAATAAATATAAATTTTGATAATTTTGATAACAGCAAAGCAGCGCTATAGATTTTAAAAAAAGTTAGAAAATTGCAAAAAAAATAAAATATGAAAAAAACTCACATAAGATATTTTTCATAAATCTCAAAATTCTCAAAATATTAGTTTTTTCAAAGTTTTCAAAAAATTTTGAATTTTTTTTAAAAAAAAAGGTACGGGGAGTTCCACCAATTTGTAAATCCTTGCCGCCACTCAGGATTCGGTTCACTGATTGTGAGTAAAAACTGAATTCATGTTAAGATAGTAGTTACATCACATGTAGTGCTCCATCTATCCTGCAATCTGCAATATATCTAGGCATACAAAACTATTTTTGAATAGTGTTGATTTCACACAATCAGCTAAATTTATAACAAACTGCATTTGTCTTACTTCTCTAGAATTTTGACAATTGAATACTAGAATCTCATTAACGAGATATGGTTTTTATAATACATAACATGTATAAAAGGTTTGTGGGTGATCCAGATCTATATTAGTACACTAGATTTAGCTCAAAAAAGATTTGAGGAAGCACCTACCAAAACTATATTTCTGAAAATTTTTTAATACGCTTTTATCTTTTCATGTCCCAATTTGAATATTTTTCAGTGGTTAGGACACACAGAAATATTTGCAAGAAAATGGAATTTTCTAAATATCTATATATAAAAATGGATATAAGATTGTCTGTCTGTCTGTGTGTGTAATTTCGCCGTGAAAATTTCAGAAACTGTTAAGTATATCCGCGGACAAGTTTTCGTATATTTTGGTTGAAACCAAGCGGTAAGGGTTGGCCACCACAAAGAAGTTTTTTTTTTGTAATGCGTATATGAAAAACACATCTTATCCTATTTTTATCCTCTAAACACAAGCCCCTATTTTGTAAGAATTATTATAGTAATTACACAATTTTTCATCTCAATTTCTGCTAGT